TTTAAATAATCTGGAAATTGCAAAGACATTTATAATTATGACCACTCTTTACCTAAAAGCCAAGTAGCCCTTAAAGAAAATATTAAGACCACAAAAAATAATTAAGAAATTTGGCTATATCAAAATCAAAAGTTATTTAAAAAGCATAAGTTCTAAATGGAAAAAATATAATAACCTCAAATGGAATATGATCTACTAAAGGGTGGAAGAAGGGAGAACCCTTTAAAACAAATCAGACAAAGGGATATTTGGTTCCTATTGGCTATAAACTGCAGAGATGATTTATATAAAAAAGAACCACAACACATTTGTAATGTCATTAGAAATAGTAAAAATACTAAAAAAAAAAAAAACAAAAACAAGATTCAGCTCCCCCACAGTAGGATAGGCAAATGTAAACTTAGCAGCACCCTCTATGGCAGATAGGAGGATTAGGGTAGATATTAGCAGAGGTGTGGAAAAATGAGTACATTTCAACCCTAGTGGTAAAAGAACAAATTGATACAACTGCCTTGGAGAGCAAATGGCAAAAGGTAACACAATTACAACTACACATACATACACCTTGTCCCAGCAATTCATCCTGCTCAGGTATAAAATATAGTCAATCAAGGTCTCACAGAACAAATATTGTTGAAGGCCTACTATGTATCTGGTGCTATTACTAATTCCTGAAGGTATAGCAAGAACACAATAAAACCCTTCCTCTTTCAAAGAAGGAAAAAATACCCAGTAAAAACAAACAACAAATAAAGGGACCAATAAATTCTGGTTCAAACATACAATGGAGTGCTGTGTAGTTGGTTTAGAAAAGGAAGCAGCTCTAGGTATTGATATGAAATGAGTTCCAAAACTTAGCAAGTGAAACAAGGTGCAGAATAATGTGTATAGATCCAATACTTGTGTAAATTGCTACTTGTGTAAAAATTTTTCATGAATGCCTATGTGTGTGTATGTGTGTGTGTGTGTGCACATGCACACACACACTTATCAAAGAACACACCAAAAGCTGGAAATAGTAATTATCCTTAGGTGGCTGGAGTGGAAAGGAAACATGTTTTACTCTGTACCCTGTTGGTCCCATTTCTTATCACACCTTCATAATTATCACGTAAATCAGTTATAGACTGCATGTTTCTGTCTCTCCAAAACTCACAGATTATAGCCCTAGCCTTCAGTCCCCCAGTGTGATGATATTTAGAAGTTAAGCTTTAAGAAGGTAATTAGGTAATGTGAAATAAGAAGAAAAGGGGCAAAGGGGAAGGGGAAGTGGGAGGGGTAGGGGAACGGAAAGAAGGGAATGGAATTAATATGAGAAAATGGAAAAATAGGAACAAAATCTTTGTAAATAGGGAGGGATGGAGGG